AATTGAATTGAATTGAATTGCGACCCAGTAAGACTGCAGTTGGGACTCTTATGTAAAAGTGTCTCAGGCGCTTACAGTATTTAGTAGAGATGTGCAGTAAATAGTAGATGCTCAGTACCGGTATCGGTCCAATACTGACAGACATGTGAACTTGCCATCGCATTTATGTAACACGAGGCATCAATCAGTCAGTCAATCAATCAATGAGACTTGATTTATAGAGCACTTTTCATACAAGCAAAATGTAGCACATTAACCCCCCACCCACCTCCAGGCAGATTTAGAAAAAGGAAAAAGATGAGTCAGATATACAAATACGTAAACAAAGTAATAAAACAGGTTAAGATGTTGAAATAAAGAAATACACAAAGAAACAGAATAATACAAAGAAAAAGGATTAAAATGTATAAATAAACAGATAATAAATAAAAACATAAATAGATAATAATTGATAAAAATCCATTAAAAGCCAGACTAAAAAGATGACGTTTTGAGGTTTGCTTATAAGAGTGTCAACACGCTCTGCTGCCCTGAGGTCCTCACGAAGGCTGGGCTGTCCCAGAGAGGAGGACCAGAGTGATAAAAAGATGCCTCATCATGGGTCTTTGTTCTGACTTAAGGAATAATTAAAAGACCCTTAAGAGCTTTATAAACCAATAAAAGGACCCTAAAATCCATTCTGAAGCACACAGATAGCCAATGCGACTTTAAGATTGGTGTAATGTCTCTTTCTGGTCCTCGTCTACACACATTCAGCTGAGTTTTGAAGTAATTGTAATTGAGCTATACTCTTCTTGGGGAGACCAGAAAGTAGAGCATTATAGTCTATAATCTATATTTATTCCTGCTGGTAATGTAAGTGTGCATTAATGTCTCTGTATTGGCTTGAAAGACAAATGGCTGCACTCTGGCAGTGTTTTTAAGATAATAAAATGTATTTTTAGTTATGTTTGTAATGTGACGTTCAAAACTAAGATCCGAATCAAAGATTACTCAAAGGTTTTTTACTTGTTGACATTGATTTAATGCCAGTGCTTGCAGTTTCACAATGAGTTTGTCTCTCTGAGCTTCAGTACTGATGACCAAGACCTCAGTTTTGTCCTGATTGACCTGGAGAAAATCTCTGCCATCCATTGCTTGATATCTAAAATACAGTTGAAAAGGCCATCTATTGGCCCTGAGTGATGTGGAGACGCGGCTATGTAAAGCTGTGTGTGGCATGACTGAAAGAGAAACATTTCTGCTAATGTTTCTACAACTTTGATGATTTGAGGGTGGAATTCCCCTAAAAATGCATGATATCATTCTCCAAATATTTAGAAATCCCTTGATGTGCACATTTTTACAGCAAAGACAAAATTAAAAATAAATAACAACCACCATGATAGCAGCATACTTTTCCTGTTAGATGATATGATGTTATACAGAACTCGGTCTCAGATGCTGCTGACAGCCTCTGCACAAACTCACTAAAGCATGCTGCTGAGCTTTCCTTTCAAATTCACAAGTTTTAGAGAATGAACCAGTTTAACTGTGACGCTAAACTGGGGAATTACCATCAGCTGGTATGATTGTAATATTTCACCATTTGCTTTGACCTCTTTGACCTCCAGATTGTTCCCATCACATAGTGTGACTCTTAGATGCTGAGGCTGAAAAAAAGGTGGCAGTACACTCCATTTAAAGTAGAGTAGTTATGTATGTTATTATGTCCTTAATTGTGATTTGAGATTTGCTGTATCAAACCTTTTTATTTAAATGATCAATACATAAATAAGCCGATGTAGAAACCTCAGTTTTTCACACATGACAAACATGTCATCTTAATATTTCTCTTTCTCAAAAGTCATGAATGTAAACACTATTGTGCTTTCTTCTCTTGAGGCCACAAAGCCTGGGGTTACTGTAATGGTGGGCAGTGTGTGTGTGTGTGTGTGTGCGGGAGTTGGTTTCGCTTGAATGCACACTCTGCTGTTTGTTGACTTAAGATCATAATATGTGGTAGGAGGACGATTACGTGTGGGGAGCCCAAGTTTCCACACGCCTGGAATGTTTCTTCTTCTGTGTGTTTAGGATCACTAACTGCTCCACTGGGTTTGTCGGTTCATGTGGTTAGCGGGCCGGCATGTAGCTCGGGCTTTGATTCGGATGTCACAATGCATGAAGCATTTTATTGAGAAATTATTGAGACTGTCTAGAAAGGGATGAGTACTAAATCGAGAGGTTGAAATATATATATTTCACCCCATTTTTCTGTGGCCCCACTCCAGGGTGTCAGGTCCCCTCATGTCTCCAGGGATGAAGGGAACAGGGACGCCCCCTCCTCCTCCTCCTCTGGAGAAACAGCACGTCCATCCTCACCACAAATCCTACTCTCACTATCATCACCATCAGCCTGCCAACGACGGTAAGACTAACCCAGAGACATCTGTCTGAGTGTAACTTAATTCAAGAAATCTGTTTTGACTTGAATTTGGAGATTGTTCAGTGGCGTTTCAATTTAATATCCTCAAATCTTTCCCCTTGCAGGTGATTCAGTAACATGTAGCCTGAGTATTACTTTTATAGAACTTCATATGAGAGAATTTACAGTGTCAGATCACCTCAATATAAGAGCACCCATGTGTCCGTTTTGAAACCCTTACTGTACCAGCAGACCCACATGAAAGGCCTCAGAGAGAGGAAGTTGTCTCTTAAAGCAGCGACACTGCCCTGTGGCTCTGTCAGAGCATTTTTAGGACAGAGAGAGATTAGAGTCGTAGAAACAGAGTGGGGAAAACCACATGCCGGAAGCCTTTTCCCTGCGCTGAATTATCCAACAAAATGCTGGCTCATGTATTCAGCTGTCTCTCAGCGCCCTAACATGGCAGGCTCAGCTGTCACTCCCGAGCCTTTTTCCTAATGCCTTAAACACTGTTTTCCCTGTAAAGATCTACACATGGACGTCTCTCTAACCACGCTGTGGTCAGGGAGTTGCGTAAAAGCGCTCCAGGAAAGGCTGCTTTCCCATTATCGTGACTCCTGCGGTCGATTCTGAGTACAAACTGAGACGATGGGGACAAGCGTTACATACTATGGGGCTGGCACAGTTAGCATGAGCACAAATATAGCATTGTCACAATTTCAGATCCACATCAAGTTTCAGGCGGATGGAGTGGACGCTTACTGACCTTGGAAACAATCACCCTTAGACGCTGGTGGCAGTTGATCAAGTCTGGCTTCTATTTTTCCCCTCTCTTTCTCCTCCCCGCTCCTCTACATCCTCCCTCATTTCCTAGAATACCAAGGCAGCTTTCAGAGCTGCTTCCATTTCGGAGACTCCTACAGGATGGAGCAGACAGTCGGTGGTGTCCACGTCCCAGGAGATTCTCACGCCTACACTTCCCATCAGCACAATGGCTTCCACATGTCAACTAGCAACAGTGGCACGGCAGGTGTGGACAATTATCCTAGCGCCTATATGCCAGAATCATGAATGATTGATTTCATCAGAATGTTAAACAAGCGGCACTTTATCTCGTCTGAACCAGGCTTCAACTTGACCCAGGACCTGCAAGGTGGCGCAGGGTGCCAGTTCTCTTCCAGCCCGGAGGAGAGCATTTTTTTCCAGGTGGGCAGCTTCGACCGCAGCCTGAGCCACATGTCCTCCGTCTACACAGAGACATAGAGCAACACTGGAGCAGGGCACGCTTCACCACACCTACTCTACTACTATGCAGTCCAACTCCTTCCACACCCGTCTTATCACACTTGGATCACCTCTACTCTACTTCCTGTTCTTTTTTCATAACTCACATAGTTAATCAAAATATATTTTTTTAGCTCATTCTGACCTACTTAGCTGCTGGATAGATGGGAAACCAGCAAGATGAATCAGACATAAAAGTTTTAAAGGCAGTTTAGTATACTAAAATGTGATTAACTGCATACCTGACACTGTCTGACTGGTCAAGACACTTGTCTAATAGTCCAAATAGGTCAGAACAGTGGTTCCCAACCTTTCTGCTTTCAGACCCCTTAAAACAAGGATGTTTAATCACCAGTTCAGAAAGTGAATTTTGTGAATCATTTTCCCAGAAGAAATGTATCTGGTAATTCGTAATAAGATAAAGGGTTACTCACTAAGTTGATATTATAAAAGATCAGTGAGTTATCTTGCAGATTACTACTCAGCCTGAAAGTCTTCTGTGGAAGTGAAGAGTGCTGAGAAAATAACCTTAATACAGGAATTGAGCTTGAGACTTTTTTTTTTTTACAGGAAGCCTGTGTTATGAACTTGAAGTGGACGTGGAGTTTAAAATATGTGGGAATTTACCAGGCAGGGAGGATCTAATGAAAGACACTGCATTGCATTATGGGAATTGTAGGATCCAGTGCTTTTGGAGATCAACCCATATTAGAGACTAAAAGTCTGGGTATCTCAACCTCTGCTGCATAAATTTTGACAATTCTGTTTTTAATATGTCCTCCAAGTTAATGAAAGTGCATGGCTAATTCACTGGAAGGCCCCTTTAATCGTGTTGTGACCCCTCAGATTTGTCTTGTGATTGCATGTGGAGGCACCAAACTCCAGGTTGGGAACCACTGGGTTAGAGGGGCTTTAAATACTGAAGAAGAAAGATTAAAATAAAAATGGAATCTGGTTTTAATTTCTGATTTTTACTCACTTAAAATGAAGGAACGCCCTGAGTCAAAGAAATTACAATAAATCTTCTTTTATTATTATTATTAACGTAAAAGAAAGCTTAAGAATAAAGATTTTTGTGCATGTGCCCTTCAGTTGTTGAAAGATTTATACGCTTTATTTCTTAGATTCAGAATCACATATTTTGGCCAAGTACTCATGAACATAACACTGGTGCAATGACACTTTCAGTACAATCAGAGCAACATTTCACAGGTTCTTCAGCCTTAACATACAAACTTCTAGCATTACAAAACTCCTGAATGGAAATGAAATGCCCTCTCCCTCCTCTTTGTGTTTTTTTTTCTCTCCTATCTACACCTTTCAATCAGTTTTAGACTGAAGTGTAGAAAAGAATATATCATTTTGCAGTGTTTGTTTTAACAGTGGAAAAAAAAATTGTTTGCATTTCCATATTTTGTTGTTAAGTGTTTTTTTTCCCTTTTTCTTTATGGATTTATCTCTGGAGGAGGGTTCAAACTCATTAATTCTGCAGTAATGCAGAGAAACCAACCTACTTTATTATTATAATTATTATTATTATTATTATATGTATAAAATGTACAGTTTGTTTACAGCAATCATTTGAATGTTTGTCATTTCTCAATTTAAGAAATAAATAACTGAATGATAACACAATATCTCTACTTTGGCATGTGACATTTTATATAAAATACAAAAAATGCATAACGTACTAAAATTGTTCACATTAGTTATATATATATATATCTGTCATTTTTTTTTTAATGTTTGCCTGGCAGTTGATGATGAGCACCATGAGAAAAGCCTCCAGACTGCGGTCATATTGTTCCCTCTAGTGGATGCTGGTCAGTACTGCAGACACAAGAAACTTAGGCATCTTACTTCTGCTTCTTCTTGTTGAGGTAGCTCTGATAGTAGAAGTTACTGAAGAGGATGATGAGGGTGATGCAGTAACAAAACACCAGTATGTTCATGGAGGTGGGAAAGTCGCACTCTACGAGCAGCTTCTGGCCCGTGTACAGGATGAACAGCACAAACTGCACCTGGAGAGGCAGTCGGGGAAAAGATCAGATCGGCTTATCTGCGCATATTGTACGTACGTTCACAGCTGTTTTCATACGTAGCGTGAGACGCTCACCAGCTGCAGAGAAGTGAGGTATCTCTTCCACCACAGGTACTTCTGCATGTGAGGGCCGATGGCAGCCAGGCCGTAGTAAGAATACATCACAGTGTGAACGAAGGTGTTGAGCAGGCCGATGAAGAACGCTGCAGGATGTGGCACAAACAAGGGATCATTCGAGTATTGAAAGTGAGTGAATTAAGTATCAGAACTGGTACACGTTGGATTTTTTAAGAATATAGAGTGTGAGGCAGGAAAGACACACAGACTTTTTGTTAGTATTACGGTTTAGTTTCAGAGCATTTCACATTAGATGGTGAATTAAGCTCTTGTCATGTGCATTTATGAAACATCTATGCAATGAACAGATCAGCTTTTGGCCACTAAGATGATGGAGAATATGAATGGGAAATAATGCTGGGAGTATGCTGGGAAATAACTTGAAATGTTTTCTGATCAGCACTTTACATTTGTTCTTTTTTTCAATTATTACAACCGACATAAATTTTGTTGGGTTGTTTTGTAAACATCATCCAACCATCATACCTGAATCCTTATTTATCAACTGACTTGCTAAAAGGCGCTCAATGGGGAGAAGACAAATCCTATAATTGGCATTATTCTGTAGGTTGGTTAAGGAAAGACCAAAACCAACAATATGTTAGTCTGTTTTTTCTTAATCATTTCCAACTTTCCTAACCTGTCTGTGGCACTCAGTTGTTCCTACTGAAGATGTAAGTTTTTAAAAATAGATCACAAATGTATAGTTAAAAAAAAGAAGACTAAATGTAGACTAAAACAACAGGGGACTGTAGTTTTTAACTAATGTAACTCAAACAGGAGTAGACATTGTTGTATCTGTTGGGGACTATTTTCAGCTGTGGATTAATACACATTTGGTGCAGCAGTCCAAGACAATGAGGGATTAATTAAAAATAAAAAACAACGCCTAAATGGGAACATGTCTCCCAGTGCAGACCTTGTGCTGTAAATCAATATCATTGTAGTAAGTAAATATAATATAGTAAATATTTGACTTACACTGTCCGCCCGCCACATACTTGACCCCCGCCCACCAGTTGAGGATCATAGTGGCGTGGTGGTAAACATGAAGGAAAGTCAACTGGTTGCTCTTCTTCCTCAGGATGAAGAAGATCTGCTCACAGTAGAAGCAGAAAGTTTGCGAACTTTTCATTCTTAAATGTCAGAGTTTCACTCGTACTGATAATGTTTGAACAAATACTTACCGTGTCACTAAGCTCGATGACCTTGGAGAAGAAAAACCACCAGCAGACTTTGGCCATCTGCAGTAGGGAAACAATGGAGGACGGTGAGCTTTATTAATGTAATAATTGAAGCTTTAGTTTTCAAACGGCTCTGTGAACTGTCTGGTAGGATTATTTTACTGTGAATTATGTTCCAAATATAGGTTGTGACAGGCCAAACACACCAAAGTCACTAAAGGTATCTAAGTGTAACGGTGTGACATTTGCTTACCCTCATTGCGAGCGGGCTGGTGCTGTAATCTACAGGCTGGCAGAGGTAGCTGTAGTTTGAGAGCCAGGATGTGACCAGGAACTGGTAAAAAAATATCCATACAATTACTGAATGAAAGAATACACCACCAATACAACCCCTTATATCAAGGGGGAAAAAAGAGGAAACAGCAGCAACAAAAACTGGAAGTGCTGAAACCTGAACATTCAAACCTGAATATTTCCACCATTGTCAGTTTTCCTGTTAAAAAACAGCACAAACACACCTCATAGAACATGTAGGCAGACAAGCCGACCATGGCAAAGTTGTAAACAATGAGAATGACTTTGAGGTCCACGGGTTGTCTGTCTTTCATCAGACGAGGTCCGGCCCAGACCACCCACAGGTAGAGCAGGATGATGATCGACACCGGGACGGGGGAGTAGATCAGCAGCCACGGGTCCGTCCTCTTGTCTGGAACACAACAGAGATCTGTGTCAGGGACTTTTTAAGCATTATTTACAAATTAATAAATAGATTACAGGACACATCTCTGGCTAGAATTCAGCCTTCATTAAACTGTCATCACTGATTATAGACTCAATATAGATCTATATTATAGGCATTCTTATAGTAGTCTGCTGAGGAAACACCAGGTTTTTACACTTTGTCTTGATCCAGTTCTGCACAGATGACTTATTATGTGTGCAGTTTTGTGAATGTAAACCAAACCCTGATTCAAAAAGCACATAATAATTATAAAGTTGCATTTGAGAAGAATAAAAAGGGTGTTTTTGTCTTACAATGACTGTGCCTCCCAATCCTATGTGTCCGCCGCTGTTCCAAGATAATGCAATTTAAAAAGTAGCATGGTTGCATATCATGTGACAAGGCACAAAGCAGTCATTGTGAAGCACATCTGCACACCCACACACTGAACACACACACACACACACACACACACACACACAGTACAGACTTGTTTCATAGACTTACAACACATGTGAATTTACTACAATACTTAAAAATAATCATCATCATACCTCCATTGTCCACTAGCCTCTGGTGCGCGGACAGGACACTTTGCCAAACAGAAGCCATCTGCCAACATAAAGAGATTGAGAATGACTAAAAAGAAGAAACAACACACACACACGTCTGCAGCCTGTGGAGCTGGTCACCTATGCGCACCTTGCGTAAGGTGTTTCAAATCTCGGTTTCACGCTGGTTGACCTTTGGACGTTGACTGCCAAATACCAAAGTACAAGCTGCAGCACGCCCTGCTGCCAAATCCAGGTCCTCGCCCTGCGATGGATGAATGAAGACCGACACCGGTCCAAAATAAGTCCGCGCACAGGTTCACTGCGGAGTGCTTCTTCCACCTGAGGAGCCCTGACGGCGGAGAAAATACCTGGACCACTTCCTGGTTTTCTTCGCTTTGGTGGTGGATTCTTTTTTCCTTCTTTTTTTGTGTGTGTTTTTTGTGTGACATGTTAAGACCAGCTGGGGGCGCTCTTGTAGTTGGTTGAGGTGGAGCTGATGTAAACCGTTTTGTGTGGATTCATCTATTGTGTATTTTTCTCTATTCATTGGTTGATTCGGTTTTTAAAGATTGTGAACATAGTGAGACATGTGACACACTATCCAGAGTGACATCTCCACAATGCTTCTGTCTGTTCTGTTGGAAAAAAACTATAGATAAATGATAAGAAAAACAGCTGTCAGTTAAATTTCTGTCACTGATATTAGTCATTAACTAATCATTTCTGCTGTACTTGTATACTGTTGGGTAGTTACATTTATTAAAAAAAACAGTATTTTTTACAAGCTCTTCATATATTTTGATTGCAAAAATCTTGTAAAAGTAATTTGTAAAGTAACTAAGGCTGTCAGATAATTGTAGTGGAGTAAAAAGTACTATATTTCCCACTGAAATATAGTCAAGTAGAAGAAAATACTCTTTCTTAAGTACAGTATTTGAGTAAACCTGCAAAACAGACCTGAGGTTAATTATTCAACAACTGTCTTTACCAAGAGTGCAAGAATGTTTGGTATGATGTTACAAATTAGTTTAAGATATAAATGCAGTTATACAGCATGTGACATTTGTACAGCCTGTGCAGTATTATGCTGTTTACTCTATTGCTTGTTCAGTGCTAAAAATAATCCTCAGTGTAGAAAACCCACAGACAGTGGACTTTAATCCAGGACAAGCACTCAGTTTCAAAATCCCTCTTGGTTTTCACACTGTGTACGTACTTAAAACCAGCCTCTGTTTCACCCTAAACACTACCTGAATCTAATTGGGATACACTAGGTCATTAGAAGCAATTATTCTACAAAATGAGATGTTGCAGTCACAAGACAGAACGTCACTGTAACATGAAAGCATTTTAATTGCTGCCCGACGTTAGCCTGTAAAGGCATCATGCCTTTGGTGGTGTGCGTCTGTACGTGTAGCTGTCCAGATAATCTAGTGTTAAAGGGGCATGCCACAGGTCTGTCCTCTTGTCTGGACTTGTCTTTTCAGGGACTTTTTAAGCATTATTTACAAATGAATAAATATATTACAGGACACATCTCTTGCTAGACTTCAGCCTTGATTTCATCAAACTGTCACCACTGATAAAAGACTGTCTGTAAAAACCTGGCATTTCCTCAGCACTTTGTCTTGATCCAGTTCAGCAAGGTTACCTGTCATGTGTGTAGTTTTGTGAATGTAAACCAAATCCTGATTCAAAAAGCACAAAATATTTATACATTTGCATTTGAGAAAAATAAAAGGCAGTTTTGGTCTGATAATGACGGTGAAAACAGCCTTTTAATTCTGTGCCTCCCAATGTGTCCGCCACTGTTCTAAGATAATGTATCTGTCCAGTTAATCTTGCATACTACTGGAGCATTAGCCTCCTATTTTTTGTGCACATTTATGACTGAATGCTCAAGGACCTCTGGGGGTTGTAGTGATTCACAATGTTAGAAAATTTTTTTAGTCTGTTTCATACCGACTGCTGACTCCTCCTAACCACAAGTGAACAACTGATAAGCCAAAAACAGGTCTTGTTATCTTCAACCACCATCTTGACTGCAAGGGAGTCATATTCTTTCTTATTAAAGGTGCACGCCACCTGTCCGTCCTTTTGTCTGGACTAGATAATAACTCTGCGCACAAGATAAAAAAAAACCTTTGCATATATCTATGAGACAATTTAAACTATACTAAACAAAAAAACATTATTGAAAACTTTGTAAATCTCTGCTGGTTGCTATTGCAAGGCAGTCACATACTGTATTGGTTGACTCGCTGAAAAAAAGTACAGAAATATTGTGATACACAGTTCGCACATGCCACTGGCTTCATGAAACCTTGTGTTCAAATCCGTGCGGCTTTTAATATATCCCAAAGTTACCCCCGCCCCCCCCCCCCCCTCTCCAATTAACAATGCTGTTTATTGCGGTAATAAACTAAAACATGTTTTATGCCATACATTTGTAACTTCATAGACTAGTCATAATATAGTGACAAAAACATTCATCTACAATGAAGTCGCAAGGTAGCCCCTGCAGGAAAATCAAAGGAGCAATATACAGATGTCTTTGTTTTCATTTTATAACAATTTAAAAACCAATCTTGTACAAATAATTTGATAGTATCCATAGTAAATAATACAGGAATAGTAGTATTAGTAAAAAATGTGATTGTATTTTGTTTCTGATTCCCTTAATGTGGCACCACAGGGGTGATGCTCTGACAGTAAGGCATGAAAAAGGCACCATGATGACTTTTACATACAATCCCATCAAGACTCCTGTTTAACTGTCTTGAAGAAGGAGCTGAGGGAGAGCTGTCTGCTGCCGCTGTTAGCCGCACTCAGTCTGGGCTTTTTAGAGTTCTGTGGCTTCTTGTCATTCTTCTGCCTTTTTCCATCCTAAATGAGACAAGTGACAAAGGTGGAATCTGTTATTAATACAGGATTAGAATAGAAGAATAAGGTATGTTTTTGTAAAATATAGAAATATACAGAAGTACTTGCCTTTGAGGTTTGTTCTTTTTGACTGTCCACAGAATCACAAAGCTTCACGATCTGCAGGAGAGTTAACATGTTGGATTGTTCACACAGACTACAGAAGATTTTAATTTAACAGTTTAAACTCAGTATAATACTGTAATGTGACACAGGGAAAATAACTCTCTATACACCAGACTGCTGTTACAAAAGCATGCTTTCTGTGAGTGATAACCAAGTCCACTCCTGGTGCTGCCCGTACTGCTGACCTCACACAACAGGGCTTCACACACACACACGCACTGTGTAAACAAAACAAAAACCTTTTTCACTCCCGTGGACACAGCAGCCTCCTGCAGAGCAGATCTGGTGAGCCACTGTGCATTTTCAGTCTGTGTGTGTGTGTCACCGTCCTTCAAACACACACTGTGAACCACATACGTCTGGTGGATGTGGGAGAAGATGTGAACCACCTGCAAACAGCCAATCAGTGATGCATCAGAAGATGATTACACAGCCACAGAAAGAGTGTGTGTGTGCGTATTAAAGTGTGTATGAGAGATAGGTGGGAAATCATCAAGCTTACCTCTCCCACATACTGGAGGAGGCTGACAGCCAGCTGGGTTCCCAGTATCCTGCTGATCTCGGCACACAGCGCCTGCTTCTGTTTTATCTCAGAGTTCTTCTCCTCCAGCAGGAGACTCGGAAACTCCCACAAGCCCGCCAGCAAACCTGTCAGCGCACACACATACAAACACACACACACAGGCAGGACAACAAAACAACAAATGTTTATTTAAAATATAAAATCTCAGAACATAGGATTGTTGAATTGCATATTAAATTTAGTTTAAGCTTTATTTTCAATCTATTTATATTATTGACATATTTAGTTTTTCAAATTCAAGTTCTGACATTTCCCATATATTGAATTTATTCATGCACGCCACCCAAATAGATGTACTTTAACCGGTTTTTGTTTTTTGTATTTCTGTATTCAGTGTTTCTTTAAGGTTTGCCGGACATATAGTAAAACTACAATGAAAATTCCTGCTAAAATGAACACTGACAAACTGCAGAGTGATAGAAAACTGTACCTGCGCCTGACTCTAGACCTATGAATCTCTGTTCACATTCCCAATTTCTTCAGACAGGGAAGTGATGATAATCAGGCTACAGACAAGTTTCAGCACAAACAGACCCTTCCCCCGTGGGATCCACTGCAGGCACTCACCTTTGTTTGGTCTCTGTGTGAGCAGGTACTCGTCCCCTCCCTCCTCTCCAGGTCGGATCACCACGCAGGTCAGAGTTCGCTCCACTCGAGGCGGTTTCTTCGCTGGCTTTCTGGGGAAGTTCTGAACACCCAACTCATCGTCCCAGGGTTCCGAGGGACACAGCGGACATGTCCCACTATTCACTGAGGGACAAGAGAAAGTGCTTTGAGATAATATTATGACTACACGAAGGTCTGAGAAGAGAAGTCAGGACACTTACTACAGTCTTCTATATCAGGAAGTGTTGATTGTTTCCTGTTCGGCTTCCCCAACAACTTCCTTGAGTTTTTCTCCTGCTTGACATGAACCTGCACATCCACACACAGTATAAGCACAACACCATGTACAGAATGATCCATACTTAATAACCTATGTTAGCGCTGGCTTCTTCTGTGTTTAAAGGAGAGCACAAACCATTACCATTACTAAGTAGCACTGGTTTGCACTTAAGATGCTATCTACCTTGTGGTACGAGTGGCAGTGAGACTGCACAGGACACTGGCTGCACAGCGCTCCTTTAGGGGTGCAGACTCGTGCTCCCAGCTCCATCATGGCTTGGTTGAAGTCCCCAGGTCTCCCAGGGTCCACCAGTGTATTAGCTAGACTCCTGAAATAGAGAAAATGTATATATCTTAAGAGAGTATTCTTACTTTAATACCAGTTACAAAGACTGACTCAGGTTTTGAATATATCTTTTCTCCCCTGTGTTTTGATCACAAACGCTGATCTTCATTTTCAAAGTTCTGAGATCATTTAGACCTGGAATGGAAAAAGCTGAAAGTCCCCCAAAAAATATGACATATCTAAATATATATCTATATTAAACTGCTCAAAAGCTGCTCAAACCGGGAAAAAACAACATATTGTATCAAAGTGAAAACTCTGGTTCTTCCTCGAGGACAGTGTTTGAGGTCTGATCTCACCAAAGTGCCTCTGTTACTACAGGACTTGTGCTGTCAGCGCCGATGGCCCTCAGGCGACACAGCACCCGAATCAGATTGCCATCCACGGCTCCGGTAACCTAGGCAACAGAGATCTTTTCAGTCATCGGTGATAAACAAGGCAGTGCAGCTAACAGGTGTGGCCTTTGAGTTGACTCTGGAAACAGAAATAGAAACACATACAGCTGTGGTGCAGATGTGGGTGTCTCCAGGTGTGTGTGTGTGTGTGTGTGTGTGTACCTGGCCCAGGGCAATAGAGCCTATAGCTGCAGCAGTGTAACGTCCCACCCCGGGCAGCTGTTTCAGCAGGCCGTCAACTGTGCGAGGCATCTGTCCCTTAAGCTCTGACACCACCTGCAGCAGAACAGAGCAGTAACACAATTAACTCTCTGCATATTATTAATAGTTATTTTTCTAATTGATAACATAAACCATACTATGTAATTATTACACACAATGATGCAGATAGACACAAACGTTTGATGCGGACCTTCTGAGCTCCTTCATGCAGCCTCTTTCCTCGGGAATAATAGCCGAGGCCCGCCCACATCTGGTTCACTTCCTGCGAAATCAATACATCTGATTTAGGATTAATACTATTTTAAAATCACCTCCATGTTCAGTGACGGATTTTTAATAATCACCTCTAGCGTAGCAGCTGCGAGATCCTGCACAGTGGGCCACCGCTGGAACACAGTGGAGAGTTTAAATGACACATAATGCACGCGACTTATTCAATTTATCACCACGACTACAATGTAACGACGCCTACCTTCATCCATTTGTTGTAGTAGTCTATTACTGTGGCAACTTGTGTCTGCTGCAGCATGATTTCTGAAACCCACACTAAAAAAAAGGGGAGAAAAGGTAAATGGTAAATGTCAGCAGATATTTAATAATTTATTTAACATTGACCCCAAAAAAAAGTCTTACCTGCGTATGTCCTGATGTTGAGGTCTGACTCTGTCTCCGCCTGTAAAAGAAATACATCACGAGTGTCATTTCAACTGAAAAAGTCAAATACTGTCAAATATCTTTATTAAGAAATTAGGATATGATATTTTGACTGTTAATAACGTTTGTTGATGTTTGTACTTTCCAGAATATTTTTGTCTATCTGCACAGCGACACGTGATATTAAAACAGGTTTCATGTAAACGCTTACGTACCCCTTACTAAAAACACGCTTACTTTCATAATGATTATCTAATTAAACTCTGCTTAACAACCAACTATGT